TTTACATGTATTGTGGTGTCTTTCAGGTACCCAAGCGATGCAGACAAGCATTTGTTGTCTCGGCAGACTGGTTTATCTAAAAATCAGGTACTCAATTACGTCTTTTTATAATATCAAAAATGGACTATTCACTTCCCCTCTTGAAAGTGAGATCTCATTTCACCTCTGCTGCATTCTCCACCTCTTAATTTCTTTTCCTTTTTCAATTGTTCTCCACTTTTTTGTTTACCTTTTTAAAATTATTTGGAGGGAAGGGCACTGAATTTGATTCATACTTTAATTTGGTATTAAGAAGAAAAAAAAATTGTTTTACTCTAACTTAAAAGTTAGATTCATTTTTCAAGCACAATGATATGATAGTTTATTAAAATATCTAAGATAATTCTTTTTTTTTTTTTATATCTTTTTTAATCATTAGCCAAATTTGAATTTAGAAAGTAAACGTAAAAATTGAGGAAAAATATATATATATATATATATTATAAAAAAAAATGGTATTATTCTTTTGAGGACGCTAAATCCATAAATCTAATTTTGAATTTATTGTGTCTAACAGTCCAAGTGTTTATTGTTCAAGTCCGCAAGGACTATCTCATGCTGATAAAGACAATCACGCAGGCGCCTTTTTATTTGTTTGGATCCGCACATCTATCTATTCAAATGACCTTTCTTCAAACCAGTTTCTCTCTCTCTCTCTCTCTCTCTCTCTCTCTCTTTCCTTGCATCCTCCAGATCTACTTCTCTCTCATCTTCATCTTCTTCATTCTTGACCAACAAATGTTGTGTAGTTCACTTCAGATCTCTCTACTATCTTTCTCTTCCTACTCCGATGAGTTCGACTTCAGAGACCGATCAAACTCATCGTATACTTTCAACGGGCCGAGCAACAAGGGTGAATGTTTCGCGCCATTGAACAATCCAGAGCTGAAGAGGAAGAAGAAAATGGTATCTTACAACATGTTTACTACAAAATGCAAGCTCAAATCATCTCTGTGGGACAATTTCAAATGGGTCATCTTTCACGCCAATTCTCATCCTCACCGTCGACACTGCCAACCCAACTTCTTTCCACTGTCTTACAACCCAGACCAACCTCATCCTCAATTGTGTTGGCCCCTTCTGCCTCCACGATGAACCTGTCGTCACCGCCTACGCCGATTAATGTTGCAATTCCCTCGACATATGAGACAAATCAGAGTTCGTGAAGAGACTGGAGGCGAAGTACCACGAAAAGGCAATAGAAAGGGGTTGTCCTACCACTATCTCTAAACCAGAGCTTATCTCTCTAACAAAACATGGGTCTTCCTCAAAACAAATCTCTCTCTCTCTCCTTAGTCCATGAAGCTTTGAAATGATAGTGGAGATATGTGTGTTTTTGTGTTATTTTAGAGGAGGCAGTAGGAAGAAGGGAGGAAAAGAGAGAAATATATACAAAGATTAATGATAAAACGAAGATGAGAGAGAGAGAGGATAATGCAATGCCAAGTTTATATCTCAAATCATGCTATCATTTCTTTTACAATAGAAAACAGAATAATGAGTACAACACTGTGAATCTCTAAGACATGTCTATAAGTAGGTTACAAACACTATCAAATTGTCATATTTACAGGTATTAACCTGAATGCTCGACACCTAAACTACGCAGGTTTCTGGACTTTTACCAAAGACATACAAGCTAACTTAATATCACCACTACACTCCTACCCAGATTCACCGAGGCATTCGCCATTTTTCTCAAAACAACAACATTTTCAATGTGTTAATCATGCAACAATGCTCAATGCAATGGATGAAAAAATAATTCTTATGCAATTTCTACAACAATCATAACTATCCTCCACAGATAGCCCAAACCAGATATCTCTAGACAGATAAATAATTTTCACAAAGATAAACTTTTCAAATTCCAAGATGTAAGTGGTAATGCATACCCAACTTCACTATCCTCATCAATATCAATCTAATTTCACATTTCCAACATCAATTCCAATTGTTTATAAATAAAAATAAAATAAAATAAAAAATCAACATTTGATATATTTAGGGCAAAATCCCCTTTTTTTTTTCCAAAATCAATTCCAAGTATCAAAACCAACCATTGTGTCACAACTCAACCTCATTTCCAATCCCACAACCATTTTCAAGAACTCATTTGAAAGCCCCTCTTTTGATTTTTAACTCAAAACCCTAGATTTGTCCAAAAATCTCCAAATTACAATATTATTTTTGGAATAGCAAATAACTAAGTCAAAAATCATAAGAAAGTGCCAAGAATCCCTACCTCAAGCTTAAAAGATGAGAGAGAATGGAGAAACTTTAAAAAAGCCGAAACCTAACTTTGTTCCGATTAAAACGAAGCTCTAGATGGACTCTACCTTTTAACAAAAGGACTAGGGTGTAGAAATGGGTGGATCAAGGTGTATTTGGAGCTTAGAGATAATTTCCAGAAAGAGAGAGTAGATATGAGATTTAGAGAGAGAGAGGGGGGTGAAAAAATGACTTAAAAAGTGAACTTTACGACCTGATATACGCGCAGACCGCTCGAGAGAATGAATAGTCGCTCGAGCGACCAGACACAATAAGTGAGACCGCTCGAGCAAAGAAGTTTACCGCTTGAGAGAAGAATATAGACTTCCAGAAGTTTTGTAGATAGAGGACCATCGCTAGAGCTCAAGAAGCACTGCTCGAGCGCAAAAATGACCGCTCGAGCATAGAATGCCAACTCCCAGTATCTTTGTAACCTTGCAAAAGTACTGAGAGTTCCCAAAGACCGCTTGAACGAAGAAGCCAAAATCTAGGCATGAAACATATTGAAAAACTAAATCCCGACCTGTTCCAAATGCAACCAAGATACTCCAATAACCAATTTTAATGAGGAATAAGAAGAAATAAGACATGAACAAATATATAAGACAGTGAAACCCGAATCCAAAACGTCAAGAGGTCGAGTCTAAACCAGAATCACTATAACCTCCCCTCCTTAAGGAATTCCGTCCCCAAAATTTGAATGAAACAACAAAACCACGTTTAAAGCAATTACAACAATGATAGTAAATCCAATTCAACACCATGACCCATCCATCGGTCATTCATTCTCATCACCAAGATAAGCACATGCTCGTTACTGAATATACAATTCACATTTTAAAAACATATACAATGTTTATATTACATTAGCATAATCAAAATTTCAATACATGTTCAAATATCAACAAATAGGTCCAGATACTTTTCACGAACTTCCAACTCACGCCTCCAAGTTACTTCCTCAATCCCGTGATCTCTCCACAACACCTTTACCAAAGGAATTGTCTAGCCATGCAAGACTTGATCTCATGTATCCAAAACTCCAACCAGTCTCTCCTCATACAAG